ACAGAAATTCTGGGATTTTCAAGGAAGTGACCATACACAAAAATACAGACCGTGTTCTTGTCTGATTAAATTAAATATAGCACAAACACAAACTCTCTAACTCCAGAAAAATTTCTCTGGCAATTCAAACTAAAAGTGGGGAACAACAGACAAGGACTCTACACACTTTAGATCTCCTCTCCAACAAGAAGGCCTTGCAAAGATACTGCCTTCAAACTTGCATCTGCCCTTCCATATGTCCTTCCAGACTCATCCAAGGCCAACAAGCTGGGGTATGTGCCTGGGCCGCCCATGTGGCTGAGCTTTCTTCATAGGTGGCCCTTGAAGTGGGCTCAACCAGGGTTCAAAATATGTGGCACAGGACACCTAACCCACAGGGTTCACCTAAAAGTTAACTGAGATAATAAATGTGAAAATAAAGTATAAGCAATAAAATGCAGTATACCTGCAGCACATCATGGCAGCTCAGCTAGTCCAGTACCTTTCAAACTCTCTTGACCGTGATCCACAGGAGGAAATCTATCTCACATCACAAACATACATCCACAAATATAAACAAAAGTTTCATGAGAGGATACTCACCTGTACCCTGTGCTATGCCTCTGCTATTTTTGTTCCCCTATATTCTATTCTTGTTTTTAAAAAATTCTGACTGTGATTCACTAAATTGATTTCACAACCCACTAATGGCCCATGATTCAAGGTCTCACCTGGGAATGGTAATTAAGAGGTACACTCTCCACTCTCATTTACATTGCTGTTTGGCCACTGCACCCCTCTCTCTAGAATATGGGAGTCAGGATATAGCCTCAGAATCCTTCTCAACACAGTGATCCAGGCAGCCATAACCAATTCCTTGGAGTTACATTCAGAAATGAAACCTATTCATCATTATCCTTGATCTGTTCCCAAGTGTTCATTTTATAAATGCAAAAATTGAGGCTCTGAAGGAAAAAGTGATTTGCCCAAGGTCATACAGCAAGACTTTGTGGGGGGGTAGGGCTCCCGAAAAAAAGCCACTTCATTTTACATCACCAGAAAGAAGGTACAACTGACCCAAAACATCACAAGAACAAGGAAAAAATTCAAAATTTCCTCATGACCATGAAAAGTCAGCTCATATACATCCAGTCAAATATGGCAAGGAAGTTCTTATCACCCACCAAGGAGAAGACGTAACGATTCTGAGGTCAGAGGAAGCAGCATGCCAAGAGCTGAGTCAAAAGTGAGAAAAATATTGTATCTGACACTGGAGGAGTTTTAAACCCAGTTTCTCAAGTGAAACAAGTCATTAGCTGTTTATTTTCTAGGACCAGGGAGAGGTCAGCCTTACACTGACCAGCCATCTTTGTTGCTTTCCTTCTGCAAAAGCAAGAACCCTTGTTCAAATTCACCTCTGTGCGGGGCTGGAAGAATAAGCAAACCTCTTTTCCTAGCTTGCTCCAAAGTCAAGCTATAAAGCAGGCCCTTGAAATTTCAAACCTTATCAGAAAAAATTAAAAAAAAAAAAAACAAAAAAAACCTCCTTAGGCAGAAAAGCAAAACATTAATAAGAATCTCCATTGTGAAACTGAATATAAATGATCTTTCGCCAAAATAATTCAGCCCATCGTGAAATTACCACCCCTCAAGTCCAATTTACCAGATATTTTGCCCAACAATCTAAGAGAATGTGGTGAACAGACAGGAGCTAATAAAAATTAGCTCATATATCCATTTCTGGTCACATGTCCACCTAAAATAGGAGGTGAGAGAGCCAAGGCCAAGGTCAGATCTCAATCCAGAGAGAAACACCAATAGAAACAAAAGAAAACTGGCCCCGCCCCCAATAGAACCATCATGCACCTCTACTTCCTTTACAACAAACATGATCAGAATAACCAATTAAAAAAAAAAAAAACATGTCTACAAAACCAGAAATGATTTTCAACTTCTAGCCATAGACAACAGAACAAAATTTCAGCAGAAGGAATGAAGGAATCTGAATTGTGTCAGGAGATCCAGGCCACACAAAGGGACGTGCTGCAATATTTTTATTCCTTGCACCAGAAATAACCTGTTATCTGCAACCCTGACTTTTTCTCAGATGCCCCTACCCCACTCCACCCCTCCCCAGCCCATCTCTCCTTCATCACTGCTAAACTCAGGCCTTCTGCCTCATGAGGCCTCCAGAGCCCCTTGGAAATTATAAATTCCTTGACCGTCCTAGTCATCGGCCTAAATAATTCAACAGAAAAAAATTTTTTTTAATTATGCTGCCTTTAAAAAAAAAAAAAAAAAAAAAAAAAAAGCTCATTCCAAATATGTCAGAATGTGACCAGTCAGCCCTGAAGGATTTTGTTACTAAAAAAATAAAATCTCCCAAATGCAATGGCGATGATGGGAAATGTCAAACCTCTGCCATTGTCAAATATATTTCACAGAGATAATATATTTGACTCATTCCACTTAAACATCCAAATTTCCACAAAACCGGGTTGGGAATCTATGGACTGGCGCCACCAGTTTTTCCAAGACCAGCTAGTGGCTGGCAAAAGGGGCAAAGGGTTTCCTTTCTTGCCCCAGGTGACCCATCACCAATTTCCAAGCCAAGGTCCCTCCAAGATCCCACCCTGCAAGTCCTAACAATATGCTCTTTTTGGACAGAAACATTATAACTTTTGGGGGGTAGGCTCAAAATCCCCAGCAAGTTCAATCAGATACTAATTTATCACAAAACCCTTCATCGTTGGGTGGGTACTTTATTTTCATCTGTCAAATTTCAATTCAGTCAATATTTATTTGCCTTCTTAAATTTTTTTTTCATTTTTGTTTCACCTTCATTTGATGCATTTTAAGGCCAAAACCTCCTCATGAAATACTGTTTGCATATATGCTTTCATATTCCAAAGGCAAACCTTGGGTTTGGCTTTTGTTTGTATTTTGATTATTTTTCCTTTATTTTGTTGCTGCTAAAATCAGCTGAGTTGGTGTTTTATCACATTTCTTCAGCAAAGTAAGTGTTCTACCAAGGAAGATAGATAAGAATTAGAATTTTCATCTCTTTTTGCCCATCCCTCTTTTATCTCTTTCTTGTTAAGTCAGTAAAATTTGTGCTTTTTTTTTTTTTTGGTCACAAACCCCCCAAAATGATTAAGGCTAATGGATTTTTTTCCCCCTTTGAAAGTAATCAGGTTTCTGAAAAATAACAAATATTGATAAACTACCAACCCCACATCACAGTCAAAGAGGCCTGAAACCAATCTGAATTTTTTTAAGTAATAAATTTTTCAAATTGGAAGAGTGAACAAGACAGAAAAGGGAAAATTTTCTTCCTTACCAAGGATTCCTCAATCCTTGTCTTCATCAATTGATTCAGTTGCATGTCATAAAAAATGAGCTTCTGTGAATCCACTGTTAGTTTTTTCATAATAATGTTAATTATGCATATCTTATTTTAATGGCGGTCTCTCCTACAAATCTGTGGGTTACTCAATTTGTATAATGTATGAATTTACATTTTTTCCACTGAATATTGCTCAAAAAAGGTCCCTGACATTTTCTGGATAAAACAACAACAAAAAAGAAATGCCTAGACCTTTCAGGAAACAAAATCAGAAAACAGTCTTAATTATTCCATCAAAACAAAACAAAAAAAATACCCACACACAAAACCCAACAAATAGAGAAAAAAAGAAAGAGAGGATTTCACTGTAACTTTTCCCGTTTCTGTTTTCTTTAGAATCTAAGGATTTAAATGCAGTAAAATGTAAATGCAAAATTTAAAAAAAAAAAAAAAAAAAAACTACAATTTTTGGGTGTGTCCAAAGCCAACATTTTAGGGTCTATTTTCTCTTTTAAATCCTTCCTTCGTGGAAATAGAAAAACTTTAAATATTGCCAAATAGAGAAATTAGTCTTTTTTTGCCCGCTGAGCTAAACAAGTTCCAAATTACAATGAAGTACAATTTCTAATTGCTTCATAAAGCCAATTCTCTCAGTTTTCCCTAAACTCAACAATTTCCCTCCTTTCTTTATTCCAATTAGTTTTTTTCTCAAACTAAAATGAGTTGGGTACCCAAACTGACTTTGCTTTTAGGAGATTTTTTGCTTTCTCCCCTCCAAGAACTGAATTCATTCAAATTCCAGCTTAATTTTCATTTACATATTATCTGGATTTGGCTTCAGAAATAAAAAGTCTCCATGCTTCTGGAAAGATCAAAGTGAAAATTTTCACCCGAAAAAAGAAAAAAAAAGAATCTCTTACCCCTCCACTGCCTGGTAGTGCAAACTTTTGAAAAAATAAGAAATAAAAAATATTTCTTTTCAATTTTAATTTCTTTTTTTATTTACAAAATAGTATCCTCTAGGTGGCGTCGTTTTAATGGGAAAAAACTACCGTTTGAAGAAAAATTAGAAAAAAAAAATTGAGAAAGGAAAATATGGCCTAAAAAAAAAAAGATTGTTGCAAAAATGGGGGATCTGGGGGGAAAGACCTCCCGGGGGGTCATCGGGGACCCCGAGCGCAGAGAGGGTCAGGGGAAAATTGCAAATTTGGGGGGGAGGGGGCAGAGCTGGAAGGGGTTGCATTTTTGCAAAATGTGAATTGTCCAAACTGAAATGGCTGCTCTGTTCTCTCGCCGCTTTGTTTTCTGGGCTCCGGTCCGAGCCCGGGGCCGGAGGGGGCGCTGGGTGGGGGCCCCAAAAGACCCCCTCGTCACCCCCACCCTCCTCGCACCCCGCAGCGCCCGGGGGGGTGCTCTCCGGACCCCGACTCTCCCGTTTGCGCCCACAAAAAGCTCGCAAACGTGCCCAGGCACTTTGCATTTTGCAAATCTTGCAATGAAGTGGCGCAGCGCCCCGGGCCCCGGCCCCCGGGGGTCCCCCGCGCGGTGCATGCCCCCGGCCCCCCGTCGTACCTGCGGAGCCGCCGCGCCGCCCGGCTGGTTCATGGGTCCGTGCGGGAGGAGGCGGCCCCGGCGCGTCCTGCTCCTCCCGGGCCGGGCTGCTGGTGCGCGCACAATGCCGCCGCCGCCGCCGCCGCCACCGCCGCCGCCGCCGCCGCTCCCTCCTCCGCCCGCCCCGCTCAGGCCGGGGGGGCGGGGGCGCTGGGGGCGCGCGGGGGGGGCGCGGGGGCGCCGGCCCTCACCCCCACCCCCGGCCTGCACCGGCCGCGCCAGCAGCCGCTGCCGCCGAGCCGCCTGCGCAGGCCGCCGGCGCCCCCGCCGCCCTCTGCCCGCCCCTCGGGCCGGCCTCGCCGTGCGGCCCGCGAGCTCGGGGCCTCGGCCTCGGCCTCCGCGCTGCCGGCCTCCGCGCGGCACACAAAGCCGGCCGGTCCAGGGGCGCGCCCGTCCGCCAGCCTCAGGGCCGTGGCGCACCCGCCCCCCAAACTTTCCCGCGCCGCGCCCTGCCCTCCCCGCGCCCCCGCGCCCGCCCCCCGTCTCCCTTCTGCCCTCCCCCAGTCCTCCAGCCCCTTGGAAATGTCATTTTCACACTGGAAAAAAGTTCGGGGAGCCGGCGGAACGCAAGAGGTTAATGGGAATTCAGTACCCTGCTGTACCCCCCCCCCAAAAAAACAGATTGATTTTTGAAATAAAAGTTTTCAAGAGCTGGCTTGCTGGAAGACTGGAAGGCTTACCGGGAATATTCTATTGCCCTGCCACTCCTCCCCAAAAAACTAATGTAATAAAATAAAAGTTTGAAGGACTGGTCCCATGTCAAACAAGAGGGGTTAAGAGGACTCTAGCCCCCTAGCCAGATTGATTTTTAAAATAAATATTTGAGGAGCCGCTTTTATGTGAAATGCCAGTGAAACGGCTGTTTCTGCCTATCCTCGCCAAATTAAAAAATATATGTGTATATATATATTTCCAAATAAAAGTTTGGAAAACTCGTCCTACAGTAAGACAAGAGGGGTTAAAGGTTAAGGGGTATTAGCCCCCCCCCCCCCGTGCATATCCACCAGTCAGGTTGATTTAGAAAAGGAAAATTTGAGAAACTTCTATATGAAATAAAATGTGAACCAGGAAATTTTTTTCCAACACCCCAAAAGAGTCAGTTTTTTTTTGTTGTTTTTTTTTTGTTTTTTCACTTGAGCAACTGCCTCCTTGTGACTTGGGAAAGTTTAAAAGAGATTTTTTTTTTTTCTGTTCTCTTCCCCGTTCTCCTAAAAAATCAGATTTTTAAAAAACTGAGCGTGTGAAGAACCTGTCCTATTAAAGAGACAAGGGGGGATTGCTGGATCCATCCTACATTTCCCACAACTGGTTGATTTTTGGAAAAAAAATGTTAAGAATTGCTCTTCTATGAGATGCAAGGTGAACAGAAATCCTTCTTTGCCCCTCCCCGAAAGAAAACTACAAGGGTGCTTTTCAAAAATAAAAACATTGGAAATTAAGAGTAAACAGGTATCTTCTCTCTGCCCCCACCTTCAAAAATCAAATGTTCTTTTTTATAATATTTAAAGAACTGGAGCAATATGATACAGGAAGGGTTACAAAAATGTTTTCCATACAACCCTCAAAAAAGTTCTTTTTAAAATTTTAGGAAACAGAGGCACTGTGTAGAAGACACCTCCTTTCCCTAATAAGTTAAACTGGGAATTTAGCCCTATATGGGAGACATGAGATTAAGAAACACAACTCTTGCTCCGCTTAGCAAACACTCATACACAAGAGGTTAAGAGGAGGCTCTGGCCGGGAGTGGTAGCTCACGCATGTAATCCTTTTGGGAGGCCAAGGCCAGTGGATCACGAGGTCAGGAGTTGGAGACCAGCCTGGCCAACATAGTGAAAACCCATCTCTACTAAAAATACAAAAATTAGTCGGGTGTGGTGGCACACGCCAGTAGTCCCAGCTACTCAGGAGACTGAGGCAGGAGAATCGCTTGAACCCAGGAGACGGAGGTTGCAGTGAGCCAAAATCACTCCATTACTCCACTGCACTGTAGCCTGGGTGACAGAGTGGGACTGCGTCTCAAAAAAAAAAAAAAAAAAAAGGAATCTTCTAACCACTTCCCCCCAGACCCTTAAAAGTTGGAGATTCGTTAAAAATTGAAAGTGGCCATTTTTCTGCTCACCAACCTGGCAAGTATGTCCCTGCCGGAGGTTTGGCAGCCTCTGCCAAGCCTGGTGTGCAGCAGGCACCAAGGGGAGAGGGGGCAGCTTGCAGAGCATGGCAGAGTTGGGTCCTGTGAGCCCTGAGCATACGTGCTGGCCAGGCAGCCTGTAGCCCACCTGCCCCTCATCCACCAGGTGGTTGGGGCCTTGTTACGTGGAGAGATGCTCCAGGTTTGATGTCTGTCTGACTCGATCCTTGTGTGAAGGTTTCTGGGCACCTGCCTCAAGGCCGGGTCCCCACCTCTGCCTAGTGGAGCCAAGCCTGATCTTAGGCCTTAGAGTAGAAACGAGATCCAAAATGACATGGGGTCTCAGTCACCACAGCTGAGAACTGTATGGTACAAAGGAAAAACTCCTGCCTTGGGAGTTGGGAAAACTTGATGCGATATTCATTTGAGCGCTTACTATGTTCCTGGCACGTTGTAGCTAGACAGACAGACACACACCATGAAGAGGAGAACTATTTGCAGCAGCTCTTCTCAAATGCTAGTGATTCTTGGAATCACCAGGAGAGCCTGTTCAGATTGCTGGGCCCCACCCCAGAGTTTCGAATTCATTCGGTCTAGGTTAGGGACCAAGAGTTTGCATTTCTAATGCGTTCCCAGGTGATGCTGATGATGTTGGTCTAAGGGTCACCTTCTTAAAACCTTTGCAGTACAGTGCCAACAGTGAGGTGCTCAGTGCAGCTCAAGGAAGGGTCCCATCCAGCCCTGGTGGGGGTTAGTGAAGATTCCAGGAGGGTCTTAATGAGATGGCAGGTTCTCTCCAGAGCAGGGATTCTTAAATGGGGTTGTTGCATTGGTTTGGGGAACCAAGAACTACTCCTTAACCAAATGTATGTGTGTATGTGCATTCTGGGGGAGAAAATCTGTGGCTTTCACTCAAGAGCATCCGTGACTGCCAACCTGGAATAATCCACAGCCTGTCTCCAGGCACCTCTGGCCTATAAAATCTCATGGTCCTTCTCAGCCTTCTTTTTCTGGAATCACTGCAAGCCCTTTCTGTTTCTCCACCACCCATGGGTCCCAGGAGCTGGGCCTTCTGTCAGCACATCCCGACCATAGAGGCATCTCCTGCCCAGGGGTCTGAGCCTTGGAGAGTGCTTCCTTTCTTCATTCTATACCAAACGGGCCATGAAGGGTATCCTCAGGGGACAATGGCTGAGTTTGAAGTCTTCTGACAAAATCCAGTTTATAAATGAACCCACATATTTCCCAAACAACAGCAGAAACTATGTAATCACCCTGAGCTGTGGTTTGTCTCCATTTGAGAATTAACTGAGGGTACACTCACCATGTGGCACTTTTGGAGTGTCCTGAGGACCTGCCCAAGAAAGTGGCTAGGTACTGCATGAGGTAGCTGTGGTCCCATCAGATGCACTGTGGTCATATCTGGACCCCTCACTTTCGAGAGCAATGACACCGTGACCAGCATGGGGAAGCCACGAGAAGGAGAGGACCCCCACAAACACCAGACAAGCTCTGGGCAGGGCTTCGGGGGGGAAAGGTGTGCGGGTGGAGGAGCCAACATGTTTTGTGATCACCCAGGGGACAAGACCAGACCTGCTCTATGATGGAGCTCTGTGATACAGTGTTGGAAAAATGACTATTGGTCAGGGGTGAGGAAGAACAGATGCTCATATCAATGGAAGCGTGGTCCAGGAGGGACCCGCAAAGGCTTTCCCATCTTCTGAGGGTCTATGGTTCAACTCGGCATGCCTGAGTTTATCAAATTCTGGAAACTTTTTACTCCTTCCATGCCTAGCCCACTGCCTCCAGAACTATCATTATTACATCATTTTTAGAGCCCAGCCCCTGGCATCAGTTCCCATGTTCACCTCTGGCTCTGGTCCTCCTCACCTGCGGTGCGGTCTCCAGCAGATGGCTCATCTTGTCCCCACTTCTTCATCTTTAAAATGATAGGCCAGGCTCGGTGTCTCACACCTGTAACCCCAGCACTTTGGGAGGCCAGGGCAGGTGGATCGCAAGGTCCAGAGATCGATACCATCCTGGCTAACACGGTGAAACCCTGTCTCTACTAAAAATACAAAAATTAGCCAGGCGTGGTGGCACGCGCCTGTAGTCCCAGCCACTCAGGAGGCTGAGGCAGGGGAATCACTTGAACCTGGGAGGCAGAGGTTACGTGAGCCGAGATCGAGCCACTACACTCCAGCCTGGGCGACAGAGCAAGACTCTGTCTCAAAAATAAATAAATACATACAGACATAAAACAAAGTAAAATAGAATAAAATGATGCTAACAGTTTTATCTACCTCCTGGGGTGGTCTGAGGATTAAACGATATAACCTGTAAAGTCCTTAGAAACTGTCTCATGTAGAGAAAGCACACACGTTGTCCGGTGGAATCTCCTCTGCCCCTCACTACCTGGGTGATCCTGGCCTCAGGGCTTCATCTCTGAGCTTTAGCATCTGTCTTTGAAAAATGGGGATTCTAAAACCTACCAGTCTTATCAACACTCTTTCAGTTGTAACCAATAGAGAAGAAATCACGCTGAACTAAAAAAAAAAAAAAAAAGGAAAATTAGAAGGTGGATTGTAGTGTCCAAGGGCAGGAAATGAATCGAGGGGATTCGGAGCCAGGAACTAGAAAAGTTTCAGGACCTGGGCTTTCTCTCTCCATCACTCTGGGCCACAAGTCTCTTGATATCTCAGTCCTAACTTCTCCCTCCTTCCCACCCTCTCTCCGGGTGGGGGGATCGTCTCTGCTTCCCTGGGCACGAAGTCAAAATGGTCAGCATACCATTCTGTCAGTGCAGGAAGTACTGACTGGTGTCTCTGCACTCAATCCAAATTCAGGAGAGAGAATGGGGTAGGTCAAGCTTGGCTCAGGTGCCACCAGGAGCTGATCCTCTATGGCTAAAGATGGCAGGGTCACAAAACACACAGAGCCTCTTGAGACCCCGCCTTGAGAGAAGGGACGTGGTGGACTGAGCAGAACCCTCAAATGTTCCTCAGAGAGGACTGCAAGGGTTCGCCGAGACTGGGGATGTGACGTGGAGACACACCAAAGCTGCATTTCTTTGTGCTAACATCTGGCAACATTTGGGAAACCCAGGAGGTTAGGAGGCTGAGGCTTTTTCTAGTAGATGATGGGCAGATGTCAAGCATGTATCACAAGCAGGTGGTAGGAGTTGCCTCAGAAGAAGTCTTTGGGTCCCAAACAAAACCTGGAGGCTTGGCTAAGATCTGGTGGGTAGGTCCTGGTGGAGAAGTTGCCTTTATAGAGAAACAGTCTGCTCAAAGGGGCATGGAAAAGAATGAAGGCACAGACTTCACGAAATGGTGTTTTCTTCCTCAAGCTGAGTTACTTTTCCTTAAGCCTCAAAAACAAGGGAAATGCTCTCTTGTAACAGCCCAGCTAGGGTGACTTGAGCTTTCAAGTCTCTACACAAAGGGGAAAAAACCCACACGATCAGGTCT